GAGTGTTGAGGATTGAACCCAAGATTTTGTTTTTCATCTTTGTTTGTTTGTTTGTTTTTGGTTTTTCAAGACAGGGTTTCTCTGTAGCTTTGGATCCTGTCCTGGAACTAGCTCTTGTAGACCATGCTGGCTTCAAACTCACAGAGATCTGCCTTCCTATTGGGGGATGGGAGCCATGACCCTTCTATGGTGGGATAGGAACCACAGCCCTCCTATGGCAGGACGGGAGACAGATACAGGACAATTGACCAAAGTGCACATACACTGTGTAATGCTGGAAGCTTTCAAAAAACTGCACCTCATAAACGAGGTGGAAGGCGAGAACCTACCCCTCAAAAGTTGTCTCCTGATCTCTGCACACATAATATGGCACCCATGCACCCACAGTCTGTCTGTCGTCTGTCCCTCTCATAAACAAATAAACCTTTAAAGGAATTAGTTTAAGATAAACAGTAGAGGGGCACACCTTTAGTTCCAGCATTTGGCAGGCAGAGGCAGAGGATCTCCAAGTTCAAGACCAGCGTGGTCTACAGAGCTAGTTCCAGGACAACCAGGGCTACACAGAAAAACCCTGACTCGACAAACCAAAAACAAACAAACAAAAAGAATATGTTTAATATGGTACAAGATAAACATAGAGAATATGAGTTGTATTTTCTGCATAGTCACAAAGAACAATCCAAGATTAAGAAAACAACTATAGTCACATTGAAATGAAAGAACAAAATACCGGGCGGTGGTGGCGCACGTCTTTAATCCCAGCACTCGGGAGGCAGAAGCAGGCAGATCTCTGTGAGTTAGAGACCATCCTGGTCTACAAGAGCTAGTTCCAGGACAGGTTCCAAAAAACCACAGAGAAACCCTGTCTCGAAAAACCAAAAAAAAAAAAGAAAGAAAGAAAGAAAGAACAAAATACATAGATATAACTTAACAGAAAAGGCACAATACTTATAAAGCTATAATATAAAGCTTTGGAAAGAAATACCTATATTTAGGTGGAAAATACCATCTGTCCATGGGCTGGAAGACACATTACCCCAGTTGAAATGACAGTACTTCCCAGACCAGTGACCTAGTGTCTCTGAGTGGAGTTTCTCATCTGTTAGCAGTCACAGGCAGTAAGAGGACATTCAGTTCATGAGCGGGGACATGCAAGATGCCTATGTAAACTGTTTAACAGAGCTGGCCCCTGGAGCAGGACTGTGGGTAGGGCAGGAGAGCATGGTCAGTATGTGCGAGTGAGCACTAGGGTCCGATGCTCTTCCTGGTCTCCCTGGGGAAGGCAGGCTTGATAGAGCTGGAGTCTGCAGACTGGGTTTGACGGAGCTCTGTGGGCTGGTAATAAATGAACAGGAAAGGAGAGTCCATTACATCGGAATGTCTAGGGAGGGGGTGGGAAAGGAGCTGGCTTCTCTTCCAGCACCAGCTAGCTCTGCAGCCTTTGATAGATGTGCCTTACACCACGGCAGCCTCCGGGCCTGGTGGAAGGAAGCCCCTTGCTCACCCCTCCTGGAGTAAGGCCAGCAGCCAGATGTTCCCAGCCTTTGGAGAACTAAGGTGGGGGTAGGGCAGGCCAACAGTGAGGCAAAGGGCAGCTGCCCAGATGTTGGGCTTCTCTGTGTTTTCTGCAACTGGGCTGAGGGAGCTTTGGTTCTGTGGCTGGTGTTGGTCTGTTGCTGTGTCACCCTGGGGCTGGCAGTCCTTACTTGCCCTGTCCTGGTCAAGGCACACTTCCTAGGAAAAAGCTCTCAGCACCAGAGGGAATCTGACTGCCCCAAACAGTGACCACTATCCAGAATGTTCCCCTCTTCTCCCATCCTATCCACGTCCTACTCACTTCTAGCCACTTGCCAAAATCCACCTCAAACAAGGCAGCACAGCCTAGAGGAAGAGTTTGGGTTTGGTAGCACACACTCAAGTCTCAGTGGCTGATGGTGAACCTTTTGTAGCTACAAAGTAGCAGAAGAGAATAATAGTATCGCAGCAGCTTATTGGGTTATTGGAGCAATAAGTGAGAGGATGCATAGAAAGTGCTGGAGGCTTCAGAACCTTGACCAATGTCAGAGCTGCTTTGAACTCAGCCTCCAGTATCTCTGCCTGGATCTAGAGGGCAGCAGATGCCACCTTGGGTCACTATTTCTCCTGCTGAGCTCCCAGATACAGCACTGACCCGGGCAGAGGGTGCTTTCACTGTTTTATCTGGCTCTGTCACTTGGTCTTTGTATGAGCTTGAGCAAACCCCTTTCTCCTGCACCTCCTACGACTGGATTGAGTTCCTGGGACCAGGAGACTGGGTTCCCATCCTTTCCACAGCCTAGTGCCAAGCCTAGTGCCAGGCACAGAGAAGACAAGTCTTCGAGGTTGGCTGAGAGGGCAAAGGAGGACAGGGGAGAGAGTCGGGAAGAGAAAGGATTCAGCAGCCTGTGGTGGTGGCCTCTGCCTCATTCCAGTTAAGTTCCGAGCTGGGAAATAAAATAATAAACAAGCAAACAAACAAACTGTGTCTACACAAGAAACTAAGGAGGTTTATAGCCTGGATTTACTGGGTCTCTAACTGCCTGCATGTGGACAAGTCAGGTCTGTTCAGTTGTGTACCAAGGGCTGGGTGAGGCATGAGGGGCGGTGTGTGGTAAGTACTCAGCCTGAACGGGATAGGAAGGGGCCAAGTAAGGAGACCAAGGGGGGTGGGAGTGTCTGAGTGGGCGAGAGGCCGCGTGTGTGTATAGGGTGGGGCGCCCTTGTTCCATACCTCTGTGACCTTAGCCAAGTGAGTTCACCCCCTTTGCGCGAAGGAGCCAACAATGGGAGGAGTAAACAAAGCCCAGGAAAGGTCGGCTCTCAGCAAGTGCACGATAAATCAAGGAATGTGCCACTCAAAGTGTTATTCTCATTGTGCTGTCTGAGTGCAGTGACGTGTGCGGTGAGGCAATGGAAATGCGTGTGTGCGCACGTGTGCGCGTATGTAGGGCAGAGAAGCTGCTGACAATGGTTGATTTGTGTGCAGATAAAGGAGAGTGTGTGCGGGCAAATGCCATCATGGAGGCACTGGCTCTGCACAGCTCTTAGGATTCTTGAGTTCCAAAGAGCTTCGAACCATCATCTCCCAGTCCAAGTCCTACCTCCAACTTCCTCTCAGTGGCAAAACTCATGCTGTTTTGTCTACATCCATCTCCCCAAAGAGGGACATCCCGTCTTCCTTGGTCCCTTTAACCTAGGCTAAGCTGGGTTGCTCTCACCTTGGCCAAATCTTCCTGGCTCTATGGCAGAAAGCTGGCCTCTCCTTGCATAAGCCTGTGCCTAGGGTGAGTGTTTGTGATATGAACATTTTTGCCTCGTGCCCACCACAGTCCTTAAATGTCCCTGAAGATCAGGCCAGTTTGTCAAGGAACCCCTGTCATTCAGGCTGTGTGAACAGAAGGGTACAACGACATCGGCTCCCCAGGTCCCCAAAAAGAAAGTGTAAACCAAAATGACTCATAGTGTCTTCAGTCCCCAGGAATCCTGTGGGTTCCTATAGAACAATGGGAGGTATTATTTCTGGGCCCCCAGGTAGGTTTTTGCCGCCTCAGCCACCAGCCACCCTCCTCCAGAGGTGGGGCTGGGACATGGTGGGTACTGAACTGAGAAGCAACAGAGCTGAGGATGGAGGGCTGCACCCATGAGCTTGGCTGGCTGAGTTGGGCAGTTTTGTTTCAGGGGATCTATCCTAAGGGAGCAAAGCAGGTATGTTCAAAGACGCATGCTCAGGGACGGTGTTGTCTATCTAGATCGGCACGGCTTGAAGGCACAGGCACACACACACACACACACACACACACACACACACACACACACACAAGGAAAGCCTTGAGCTGGTGTAGATTTGCATCTCTTACACCAGCAGACGTTCACAACATACTCTGAGTAGGCAGGAAGTTTACAAGGATAGGCAGCAATGATGAACCCATTTTTTACGCACACCTAACTTTTTACACGTGTAAACCTGAATATAAGAATTTGTACTGGGGGGCTGGAGAGATGGCTCAGTGGTTAAGAGCATTGCCTGCTTCCAAAGGCCATGAGTTCAATTCCCGGCAACCACATGGTGGCTCACAACCATCTGTAACAAGGTCTGCTGTCCTCTTCTGGTCTGCAAACACACACAGATTGAATATTGTATACAGAATAAATAAATAAATAAAAAAAGAATTTGTACTGGCCTGCTGGCAGTAAATTATGCCATACGGTCATTTCATTGCTGTTTTGGTTTTGTGGTTGTTGGTTTGTTTATTTGATTTATTTTGAGAAAGAGTCTCATAGAGCTCAGTTGACCTTGCACTTACTAGGTAGCCAGGGATGACCTTGAATGCCTGATTTTTCTGTCTCTCAAATGCTGGGGTTACGGAAGTGAGGTATTACATCTGGTTTATGTGGCGCTGAGCATTCTGAACATTCTAGACAATCACTTTACCTACTAAGCCACATCCGCAGTCCTGAATTTTGCTTTTAGTTGAGTTTCCTGGAAGTTGAATCTAAGTCTTCAAAATTGCTAGGCACGTTACTGCTGTGCTATATCCCCAGCTGTGTATGATAACTCTGGGTGATGCTTTGTTCTTTGGTTTCTCTGTCTCTCTCACTCTGTCTCTCTGTCTCTGTTTCTCTGCGTGTCTGCCTCTCTCTGTCTCTCTTTCTCTCTCTACATGTCTGTCTGTGTGTCTTTGTGTAGCAAGGCCAAAAAAAAAAATGCCTGGCGAATTCTGGTACCAACTAAGGGACAGGGCATCCCCATAGCCCTTCCTTCTCCAAAGAGGTTCCAGCAAGTCAGTCTGGTTCCATGTCCCCAGGTCTGGGAGCTCATTAGACTCTTGTCGGTGGCCCCAGAGGCTCTAAGCCGGGCAAAGGTCTCTTTGGCATCATAAACCAGCCCACGTGGAAGGAGGAGCCATGAGCGCCCCAGTGGCTATACCACCCTAGAGGTCCTCTGTGCGCATCAGCATCACCGCCCCTGGCATGTGCGATGGCTGCTGGCCAGTGCTGCAGGTCTGCTGAGGTGAGTTCAGGCAAGACTGCCCTTGGAAATGGTGGGCTGAGGGGATTGTGGGCTGGAAAATGATATGGGAGGCGGGAAACCCCATCATTACCAGGTGTCTTCTTCGTGGGGTGGAGCCTGAGAGTTCAGTACTGTGATGTGCTCACTTAAACCCCCAAAGCACAGAGGCCGCCCCCAGGAACCAGTAGATGATTACGGCAGAAGAATCCTGAACCTCTACCTTAAAGTGTCCAATCCATGACAGCCTGCTTTGACCAGCCTTCTGCCATGCATTCTCCTTCTGCAGAGACACAGGCCCTCTCCTCGACAGCCCTTCCACAGTTGGGCTTCCTATGCCTCAACTAGACTATACTCCGAGCTGGGGTATGCTTAGATTGATTTATGTCCCTTGTGGTTAAAAGTTCTGAGGAGGCAGATGTGCCTGTTGTGTTCCCCAGAGTATCCTCGGGCCTTGGAGAGTGATGAGAACCGAAGCAATACTTGATGAGCAAAGGGCCCGTTCAGCATAGATGCATGTGGGCAGATGGGTGAACAAACGAGGGGGAAGCGGAGTGAGCAGGAAGATGGTGGCTGGTTAAGTAAAGAGATGGACCTACGCAGTGGATGCTGGGAAGGTAACAGACAGTTGAGAGAGGAACCTCGAGGACATTAGACTAAGCATGTAGTTCTAAACTGTGAAAATCAGATTTTTTTTTCTGCCTTGCTGAAATACAGCATGGGTCAGCACTGTTATCAGGAAGGATGTTTGCAGACCTAAGCTCCCACATGCTCTGAGAAATGAAGTAGATTAGCCCAGGATCACACAGCAAATGACGTGATACTAATGCCTCCTCACCACCTGCAACAAGATCAAAGTTCTAGTGACAGCGGGTCTCTTCTGAGCATCTGGGTGACCTGGGACAAGATATTGGAATTACGCTTTTCAACCTTTGAAAGAAAAGGTTGGAGCTCCACCGGGACCCAAATCTAGCATCTCCTTTGACTCTTCAGAAGTCCTACCTTGTTGGGGGTGTTAGACCTGTTTCAGCTACCCTTTCCCACTCCGTCCACAAAGATCCCCGGATCTAACAAGGTGACTCCAAACCCGGGGGTGAAGTTTAGGGTAGGAGGACGAGCCTCAGTCTCTCTCTGGAGCCAGCCTGGCTACCTCCCATTATCACTATCTTAGGAGCCCCATAGATGCTGTGCTGTGAAAAGCCCCTTAGTGGATTTCTGACTCCTCATGCCAGGTTTATGACATGCTCAGAGTCCTAGACGACTCCTGCAGCCCTCCAGCTCCTGAGGCTGGGGGATGCCTCTCCTGGTCGGGGTAGGGGAAAGGCTTGAGTGTAAGGAAGGGATCTCTGTCATGGCTGTGGAACACAAGTAGGCCTTAAGATGTTTCTAAGTGGATTGTGGTGGCATATGTCTTTAATTGCAGCACTTGGGAGGCAGAGGCAGGCAGATCTCTGTGAGTTTGAGGCCAGCCTGGTCGACAAGAGTTAGTTCCAGGACAGCTAGGGCTGTGACACAGAGAAATTCTGTCTTGAAAAACTAAAAGGGGAAAAAAAAGATGTTTCTAACCCCACAAACAGAGGACTGTAGAGTCTGGATAGAAGGAGGGGGTTTTCTGCTGACCATGCTGGGGAGCCACATGACAGCTGTGCTGAACTGGGGTGCAGGCAGGGAAAGAAGGAGAGGTAGGGTGGGTCTCGCAAGGCTATAAAGCCAGGCTGACCTCTGGACTTTCTCCTCTATAAAGGAGAGAATGATGTTTCTATAAAAAGCTTTCATGTGCTTCTGACATTAACAAATTCATATTGCATAACCGCTGTCAGAGGAAAATAAACCCAAACGGCCCAACAGAGTGCATGAAGGCAACCCCGCTGGCACGGACTGCAGGTGCCGGGTGGAAATAATCGCTAAGAGCCCTCATTAGACAAAGTGGTGTGTATAATATGCTACCGCTTGTCAAATGGAGGGGTGGAGCTCAGTGGTTAGGGTGCTTGCCTTAGCATAAGCAAGGAACAAGTGAACTGATAATATTCTTGGTCTCATTCCTTCCGCAAATGGTCCTGCAATGGAAACCTGCTGGTGCAACTATCTCTGAGCATATGGTTCAGGCCATGTGCCAGATAACTTCCTCGAAGTGCTATTGCAGACCAGGGGGCCCCATGCATCGGCTTCAGTAGACATCAGCAGATTGTCGCTTGCATGGGCTAGTTCATTGCTGCTGCTACCTTTGGCAGGGAGCGTAAGTTATGAGCCGTAGAGTTTCAACAGGCTCAAGGATCTTCAGGTGGGTTTATTCTGAGTCCCCATTAACCCTTTTCCAAGTCCTGAGCTCTGTAATGCCTGCCGCAGCAACAAAAGAGGAGTCCGGCGCTAGGCGCTAGAGATCCTCTCCTGTGTGGCGAAGTCCCCGCCCCTGGGCAATGCAAGGACCCACAACCAGGGAGAGAGGACAGACTGCCAGCAGCTGCGAGGGGCTGAGTTCAGCCAAAGCCCACACGGAGGGCTGCCAGAAGTTCCTTCGTTTCATTTTTCCAAGTCTTGCGCTTTGGGCTGGGTCACAGTGTCATCCTCATGTTTCCTATTACTCTTCAAGGCTCCCTTCAAAGAGCCAGCCGCGCAGGCCCTTTGATGTCTGGGCCGAGCCTGCCTCCGCCTGGGGAGACACATCTTGCCGAGGATCAAGAGGGGTTTGCAGATCGAGATGGTCCCCAGGCCTTTCCCCCAATGTCTTCTCCAGGAGCCACCCCAGCTACAACTGTGGGTCTATGGCTGAGTTGGAAAGCCTACAATGGGAAGTGGAGTCCGGGAATGGCAAGGAGCTGTTCCGCGCCCCAGTTTGAATGGGAAGAGCACAAAACTGCCAGTATCATAGGAGTCGGGCAGCTTTTGTTACCGTCAACCTCTCAGTTCCCTTCTATCACTTCCTGAGACTCCAAGCATGAATACCCTGTAGCTGAGGGTAGTGGTCCTTTGTAGACCTCGATGGTCACCCTACCTAGGTCCAAACCCTCAGTTCTGTCCCTTGTATATAGCTAGATGGTATAGTGAAAATAATTAGCACAGTAAATCAGCCCCAAACTTTTTTTTAAATGGTAATCGCCACCTTGAGCATTTCTGTCATGGAGAAATAGGGAGATGGTGAGGTATACGGCACAAGTGTCTGGTGTGTGAAGAGACTCACAAAAGAACAGCTGGCGACCGAGGATGATGACCAAGGTGTGGCGAAGGGGTTTCTGAGAAAAAGCGGTCTAAGGGCTTCCTCACTGACATGGCCTGAGGATTACAGGGACCTTTGGTGTAAAGGAAAATTAACCCCTACTTTGGCTCTTCCCTACCTCCTGCCTCTAATTCCACAGCTCTCTGTTCAGAGTCCCAGGCTTAGAGGGGGTCGGGAGGATAAGGAGAAGGTGCCAGGCAGGGATGGGTGGGGGAGGCTCTGTCTGGGCCGGAAGGGGCCTGGTAGGTGGGGGCAGCATCTGGAAGCCTGCAGCCCCGACTTTTGGAGGCAGACAGAGTAGAAAGGGGGTGGGGTGGGGTGGTTTCCTGGCAAAACTGAAAAGGTTTGGATTTGACTTGGAAACAGTGTGCGAAGGGCCTGGCGGCTGCCTCCCCCCTCAAACAGTCTCTGAAGTCAAGCTGGCCAGGGAGGGCTGTTTTGTGTACAGGGGCGCCGGGGACTTGGTGATGGAGAGTAGGCTGTGACCTCGCCCCTGCAATCACAGAGTGCAGGCTCTGGTACTTCCTGCAGGCCTCCCAGACCTGAAGGCTGAGTGTTCACTGGAGCCAGAGGACCAGGGCTCCTGCCTCCCTGAGGAGCAAACAATAGAAGCACCTTTACAGACGAGCCCATGCCTTGATCTCTTGGGCTACATTGTTCTGCTTTGCTTTATCCTTGTTTAGCCTGTGAGGTTCCTTATGTAACATTTCCCTTTAGACTGAGTTATTTAAAACACCTTGAATACACTTATGTCAAAAGGAAAGTTACATTGCTGCTGTCAATGGAAGACTCTAGGCTCCCAGTACCTAGCAACAATATAGGTAGTTATAATAAAAACGAAACAGTGTTGTTAATTGTGACTTTTAGTGGCCGAGGTTCCTCCGATTTAAAACAGGGAGATCAACACATAGGAGGACTGTTATAGAACAAGACTCCTTTCCATTCCAGCTGGCAGGTATAATGTAAGATAGGTAGTTAAACGTAGATAGTAGAACATGATTATTTTTTATTAACCATGCAAGGAGAAACCCGCAGAGATGGTGAGCACCATTGCTGGAGACAAGACCCCATTCTTTATAGATATTGATTAACTTTCACTGTTGGTGGCGCTGGGGATCAAACTTCACCCAGGCCTCTTACCTTCTAGGCAAGTCATTCTACTACTGAGCTATACTCCAAGCCCAATAACAAATAATTATTGTATAAGTACATTTCAGATAATGCATAATCATACATACACTGATTTGTCTCAGTGCAGAGTTAGTGGGGCAGCCGCCTTTTTACTTGCTAAATCTGGCGACTCTACCCTCAGTGAACGCAATAAAGTTTTAAAAATTATTTTTTTTTAGATTTATTTGTTTTACGTGTATGAGTGTTCTGCCTGCATATGTGTATGTGCGCCATATGTGTGCCTGGTGCCTGCAGAAGTCAGCAGAGGGTGTTGGATCTCCTGGAACTGGAGTTAGAGATGGTTATGGACCACCATGTGGGAATCAAACCAGCGTGCTCTGGAAGAGCAGCGCACACTCTAAAGCACTGAACCATCTTTCCAGCCCTGATTTAATATAGCATTCGAAGGAGCAACTTTCCCACGGCTGAGAAGTTAGATGTTTCCTTGTGCTGTTTCTATGCTATCAAAAAGAATTTTGAGGAAGCTCGTTCTGAGTCAAGGTTGCGTTGGGCCACTGTGTGCAGCTGATGAGGAAATGCAGGAAAGAGCGTTCTAGCTGGGGAATTTCTGAAAGGCATGTGGGGGACAAGGCGACACTGGGGCTGGCTCCGGAGGTCA